GGAAACGATTCTTACGATTCACCATGGTATTTCTATTTGTTCAATGGTATATGACCCACGATGACTGTCAGAGGTGTGAAGCTTCAGGATTTTGCTACTGTCATGAGGTTTGTCTTAGTTTGAGGCCTCCTCAGAATGAACCGATCAATATTCTTTCAGATAGCCAAGCTGCAATCGGGGCATTGAAGAACCCAAAAATGATATTTAGACAGGCTCTAATTATAATAGTTTCACTACCTATATACTTCGTGCTGGGATACTCAGGAATCATAGGCAACGAAACAATTGAGTCAAGTAGACATGGCTCATCAATTACGGGACCTGCACCAGCTGTGGGGATACCATATTATAGGAAAGAGGTCAATGAGAATACTTAGTACTGGAAAAATACATCCGGTAACACAAGGAAAAACCTTTATATAGAAATCTTCGTAGAAAAGGACCAACGAATTGCTTCAACAAAGCGGATTTTCGATCCGGAAACCATTTTGGATCATAGAAAGTGAAGCACGTAAAATACAAAATTGAAGAAAACTTCAATTTCTGGTATTAACACAATTATTTATTTCTGAAGGTCCCAACATTTTTTATCGTAAAATAACGCTTGTCCACACGTTTCATAAATTACCGACCGAAAATTAAACGGATTGAACGTTGAAGTTCTGCGTCACCCACCGCAGACCTCTCGCCAACCGACTTTCATCTTTCATGCACTTTGATAAGTTTTTCACAGGTAGAATCTTCGCCAAGCAGGATCAGGAAAAACGGCCTTCGTGGACCCAAAAGTGTACTGATTCAAAGGGCGTTTATTTCGATTAAATTAAATAAGTATTCACTGAAATATTCTAATTTGAACTAGACTCATAAAAAACAGACAAAACTTCTGAAATAACCAGTATTTTTCCAACAGTGTAGTATTTATATGAAGGAAAATTGTATCACAGTTAAAATAAAAATCTCAAAGTAAAGAACATTATCTCGATTTAAAGATTCAAAAGACGTCCTCAAATCTCTTTGAAGTGGACAGAAGTCTTTACAGAAAAATTGCCTTTCAAAATATTATTAGAGGATTAATGGAAAATATAAAATGTTTCTTTAAAAAATTTAACTCATGATCATACAAACTTACTTAAAGGGATGTGATTCGCTATTTGAATAGAAATAAAAACTTTTCTGAAGTAATTACAGAAAGTAAAGACATTTCGGAATTCAACAAACATTTACATGTTGAAATCAGAAAGTAGCTGTCATATGTAGGTGCTTGTAGGTGCTTTTTATACCTACTGGTTCCTATTTTGGTATTTTTTGTATCATAATTTATTGTCGAAACTATAAGTACCTCTCTCGTTCAATAAAAAATGAATTCGGTTAGTTTCTCATAATACTAAATTTAATATTCTTTTCAATAATATCTATGTTCAAATAAAAAAGTTTTTTTCAAACTGAAATGAATAAGATACTTCTTTAAAAGAAACCCTTTTCATGTTCATTCTATACAAATTTCCTGTTATGTTCAGTCGATCATAATATAGTTTTGTGTATAGATTCACAAAACTCTTGTTATAAACGAATTGAGTTATTTGAAGAAATACAATTTTGATTTCAAACAAACAATATTTTTTCAGATCAAGTTGATATTACTCTCCATTTGAAACAGTTTATTTTTCTCTTTAAATAGGCGGTAGATTTTGAGATGATATTATATTTTCTTGATTCAAAATAGTTCATCTTCGTAATAATATAATCAAACGAATGATGTCGTTGAAAGGCCAAGAAATTTGATTTCTTCGAAAAAAAAAAATTATTTCTCTATGGCGCTGCTGGCATGAAGTAATAATTTCTCCAATAGAGATGAACATTTTAAAGCAACCTGTGATCTTCTTTGAAAGAAATACTTTTTACTGTGATACCAGCGAATAAAGTAGAACTTTTAAAAATTGTTTTAAACTCCTTTATGCATCATGGCGCTGTTGGCATGAAGTAATAATTTCTCCAATAGAGATGCACATTTTAAAGCAACCTGTGATCTTCTTTGAAAGAAATACTTTTTACTGTGATACCAGCGAATAAAGTAGAACTTTTAAAAATTGTTTTAAGCTCCTTTATGCATCATTTTAATATTTGTCTGTATTTTGGGTATTGTCAGAAGACGTCTTATAGTGAAACGTGTCGCGGTTTTGTAAACTTTCAAGTGGAAATCTCGCATTGAAGTGTTTTTTGAATACGTTATTATCATCTATGTTATTAACTATTGAGGTAATGAGGTACCTAATATGAGTAAAAATGGGTGTCAAACCGAAGGAACATAAAATGGTCACCTATATAAATTTTCGATTTTTCGAAGATGCGTGTTTTCTGAGAGATCTTTATCTGACGCTGTTTCATATGATTTTTGATAAAAACACTGCTGATGAGAAAGTTGCGTTTCTCGTAAACTGTCTCTTAAATTTTTTTGATAGGCACGCTCATTTAATAACTTACAGAGTCACAAATCCCAAAAGGTCCTACTTGATAACGAGTTTATCATTTCTGATTGAGATTCTAATTGATCTTTAAAATTTTCATTTTTCCTTTCAAGTGCTTCATTTTTTTTCCAAATCTCTAACTTTGAGTTATTGATGGGTTCTAGTTCCCACAAGATCAACTCTGAGGCATAATCCAAGGCTCTTTACGACTTGACCCACCAAGTGATCAATGGTTTATATATTTCAACAAAAATCAAAAACTTCCTTTTTATAATAAGACACTGTAAAGAGCAGTGGCATTGGTATATTTTTTTATTTCATCTGGACCGAAAGATTTGTTGATGAGCTGAAAGCTTTGGACTTTGACAAAAAAGATCTACTTGGGACAAACAGTTTATTTCTAATTGTCGGTACGTGTAGTTCTTCAATTTCGTTTTCTTATGTTGCATGTGTTGCGTATATCTACTAGCAAACCTATCATCAATCCTGACACTCTTACAGTGATTTTTTATAATCGAGAACAATCACCATTGTTCAGAAATATTTTTTACGTATATATACGTATATTATTGTGTGGAAAATTTCTATTTTTTTTTTCCGTAACGTTTAATGATTCATTATTTCAGGTGGAAAATTCGTATTCGTTTTAATATCGGTTGTGTATAGGAATAGATCGACAATTTTAATGAAAACTCTATAGATTCTGTAATTACGTCGGGATAAAATGATGTTTCTCCCTATTTTGAAAAATGAACAAATTATGAATGGATTGATTCGTTTTCCATTTTCAAAACATTGAAAAAATACTTGTGAACAACACCTCATTTGCAAACAGCTATATTTCTTTTGACGCACATCTAAAGAATATAATCCTGTTGTCATATTTATTTCATAAAAAATGTCTTATGCAAGGAATATTTGCTGAAATTATGTTTTGAAAACAATGGTTTTCATATATGATTTGTTTCCATATAAAATAAATCCTGTAATGTTTCGACCAGTTTAAGATATTCCACTCTTATATTTACATAATCAAGAAAAGATGATTGAAAACTTTCTTTGTTTTTTACCACTTATATTTGTAAATAACATTTAATATATAAGTTTGAAAATGTCCTTATAGGACGAAACTGCAGTAAAGTTAGTTACAAATAAAAGTAGTGAAGAACATAGAACGTTTTCAATTATCTTTTCTTCATTAACAGCTACATCCATCAATTTATATTTACATCATTCTCAAACAGATGTATTATCTTTAAAAGATTGTTGTTTGCTCGAAATAGGTAATTTATTATAAATATTTCATGACTACTTGGAATCTTCAATTTTTTAATTTCTCCAAATAATGCGTTTGTTTATGGCAAAATTTGCGTTAATAACTAGTAATTTTCAGTCATCCTCCAAGGATACGACCATAGTGATGACGTTTGTATCAAAGCGAACCTTGTCGGTCTGCCATTTTTGATGAAGTTAAAAATATCGATACTATCTAATTCCGAAATTTGACTGCGTCATGCGAACTCTTTTATCTACGATCATCCCAGCCAATAGAAATTGCGATCGATATAACTAGGGGATGGTGTGCACTCATTGGTTGTATAAATTTCCCACGAAATCCAATCCTGATTCTCGAGTTCCATTTGTAAGGTTAACTTCAATTTTATTTATTTATACTTAAAGTTTATCACGTGTCATGTGTTCAATGAAAAATTGGAAATTTATAATTGGATAGGGTTGGAAATTCCTGGTATTTTAACTCAACAGTTTTTATCTTCCTATAAAGTTCATCGATAGGCCGAGCAATTAAATTATTCATGACTAACTCTTATGGCTGTATATTTCTTAATATATAAAGAATGGAAAATTTTCTATGAAGGAAACTAGCAAATTTGAAAATTCTTTGGAAAACAAGATCATCTCCAGATATTTTTTACAAAACATGATCCAATGTTAATATGTTCATCATTACTATCATATTTATTATTATTATTAAAATATGTTGTACAATATCTAAACATTCATAGTACAACAGATAAAGATCATCAATTACTCAGATGTCCAGGTGATATCTACTAAGTTTTTTGTATTTTTTTCGGTTGCCAAAAAGTGTTGTCTAGCCTAGCATACAGCTCGTCAAATCTAGGAAGATACTTGAGAATTCTCCCTCTTTGTCTCTCGCTCTAACACTATCGCTAATTTCTCATGTGACAAACGCAATAAATGGAGCTTAACAAATAAGTAGAATTCAATACACTTTATTCATTTCTTAAAAAACCGAGTTGACAAAATGCCTTGCATTGAAGATCATGACTATTGATTTCCAATGTTTTATGATTACATGATATCAGTCTCATGCATAGGAATATGTTGTAGTGTATGGCCTGTTGATAACCCTAGGATGTTTATTCCCAGCAGATAATGGTTTAATATTGTCTGGTTTCATCCAGAGAGACATCTCATGAGTTTAAAAATCTCCGCAGTTGCTTTATGAAATTTCTGAGTTTTGTAGACCTTTGGACATTTTGGTATAAAATTTCCGGTGTTAAAATAGTTCTTGAAATAACAGAAAGTGATAGTGATTGATTGAATCAGCACAAACTGTAAATCATTGATTGCCATATAAGATCGTCACAACAAAAGAAAATATGGAACGTTTCGATCTGCCATGATTCTCATCGTTTGAACTCCGTGGAAATATTCTAGATTCACCCCATTCAACACTCCTAATAATGGTTTCCAAGCAACCGTTCAACTGGGGTTGAGGCAAATAACAATGCCCACCTACGTTGTAATACCTTCAAACTGTTTTGCTAGTACGGTTGTAATTTTTATACAGGAGTGAAACTAGTTCCTCAAATGTAATAATTGTACTAATTGAACTCGGCACTACCACGTCACGTGTTTTTCGCCAAAGTGTGAAAAATATCGACATTTATATTATTCACCAAAATGCGGATTCACCAGCGGTGCGTATGGTAAATCAGAAAATAACCTAAAACGGTATCTTAGTGTTACGCGATTCAATAAGTTGGGTGATAACCTTGCTCTGGTTAGAAATTCTTCAAAAATCGTGTCGATGATGGACATTAAAATAAAAATGTGCTAGCGATTAGGAAATATGGAATTTTGGGATATGGATGATAGGAGAGAATCACGACACAGAACATTGCAAGGTATTTATTGGTGCTCAAAATAACAAATTGCACTAAATTAAGTGTTGGCTTCAATACAACCGTCTAGCCGCCGCATCATTGAATTTCGCACTCTTCTGAAAATACCTGGCGTATTTTTTATCATGTCACATGAGTTAATGATTTTATTCCGTAAATCCTCTTCACTTTGAATAGCAGTTTTGTATACCAACGCTTTAAGGTGTCCCCAGAGAAAATAATCTAGGATTCATTTCGGGCGAGCAGGTGTGGGCCTGCTCTCCCAATTCAGCGATTATGGTAATTTTCATCCAAAAATTGCCGTGCCACTACACTAAAGTGTGGTGGAGCACCATCGTGCATGTACCACATAGGGAATCTTTCCAGGACTGGAATTTCTTCTAAAAGTCCAGGTAAAACAAATTCTAAAAATCTTCGGTATTCTTCTCCATTCAGTCTAGGTTGAAGAAAGTGAGGCCCAATAAGATGGTCACCGACAATTCCAACCCAAATATTAAAAGAAAACTGTTCTTGAAAATTATTTTCTATCAAGGCGTGTGGATTGTTTTCGACCCAAATGTGATTGTTGTGGAAGTTAATAATTGAATTGCGAGAAAAATAAGCTTCATCTGTAAATAATATTCGACTTAGGAAACCTGGATTTCTTCTTATTTTACCACGTAACCAACTAGAAAAAGCTAGTCTTACAGGCAAATCTCTGGGCAATATTAGAGCTAGATACTAATGTATCCTGGGCCCCCAAAAGGCTGAAGATTGCATTGCCTCCCACTATTTCTTTGGAGAATAGTATTTTGAATTCATGAAGTTGAAAGACAATTTCAGAAAACCATCTTTGTGTTACTCATCATTTAGTTAATTGCACCTGCCATCGATTGCAAGGTATATAGTTCTCTACCAGCTTTAAGTTTGGGCAGAAGTCGGTTTTATTTGACTTTGGTATATTTTAGTTTTTCTTGAAGCTTGGAAGAAGAGGCCGTGTGTTTTTTACCAGATGAAATAGGTTCAGTTTGATACTGTTTAATGGATGCTTCACAAATTTTCATTGTGAGTCAGAGATTCAAAAACTCTCCTAGAGTTTCTGGACTTCTCCCTATTTTACCTGATCCTTTTTATCTTCTCAATTTTAGGAATATCATCAATATTAATCAATGCATACAGCGTGTAATAGCCAAATGGAATAAATTCATTATTTCGGTTACTGTACATATTAAAAAAAATCCCGAAACACGTTAAATGTAAATTATAATTTGACATTCTTCAACGTAAAAATTCCACCCCTATCTTCAACCCCCTTCGAATGACAGGTACAACTCCAATTTTTTAAATGGCAAGTATGGATGCCTGTCTACTCGATGTATGTGGGTTTTCCTCAAACTCAAACATCACTTCGAATTTGAGTTCACTACTCATTGCATTGGCAGCTGCTTTTTTTATCTGTGGGGACCAACCTCGCGAAACTGCTTCTCTATTTTGCTTATTGTTCCTCGACATATGAGCAGCAAATTAGGAAATTTCTCATGAAATATGCGAGCTACTTCCTGTTCTGTTCGGGTTTTATCTCCGTAACTAATTATTTGTAAAACTGTTATTTTATGCATTTCCGTTAATCTAACCATTTGTGAGACTTGAAGTTAACGAACTTTCAACTTAAGATAAAATAATGACAACTAATGTTGTAACTAACATACAAAACAAGTTGACAAGGCGTTAAACTAACGTTGCTACGGAAATTATTATATAGAGTGTTTTAAAGGATACCATCTAAAAAGAACATTGCTGTGGTTTTTGCTTACTTTCTTATTATGAATACCTCAACACGAAATAAGTTTCTAGTATATTGCAATACGTTTTGAGTGTATTTTATCGAATTTCGGTAACTACATGATTTTAATTTATTTCATCTCAATTGTTGCAATGAACTTGAAAGCGACAACATTTTTGAATAGAGAATGAAGAGGCCTTTCAAACAGTATATCACAAACCTATACTATTAAAAAAATTGGGGGTTGTACCTTTCCGTTAAAGTATGTCAACTTCAAAGTGAGATTGAAAGAGTTTTCTATTAATGGTTGCTTTAAATTTGATTTGTGAAAAGTTCTCTATGTTTATAAATCATATATATGTAAATGTATTTCATTTCCCATGTGACATATCCCTATATCAGTTTGTGACCTTGAAGGATGCAATAAAAATTATTATATTATTATTGATATGTTGCGGTAAGCTTCACTTACCATTTATTGTTTGATTTATTTCTGTCGATTCATACTAATTGAATACTTTGTGTTGACTTCCAGAGCGGCATCTGCCAATTTGCAGCAATAGTTTTTTTATTGTCTTTATAAAGTTCATCAAGCATTCGAATCTACTTTTATATAAGATATTTTTTTAAGACAAAACACAAGCACTTCAGGAAAATCTTTAAGGCGCTCTTAGAGCGGTGTCTGTGTGAAAGTAGTGAATCACATTGGATTTGAATCGCTGGAGATGAAATCCATTTGGAAAAACGTTATCAGGAAGTTTATCACACATAAACGCCGTTCTCCAAATGAAAGAGGTCTTTAACAGTGAAGTTGAACCTCAAAACGATAAGTAACCACAGTCCGTCGCGTATTTCTGATATGTATCGCTCTTGGTGGAATCAAATGTGCCAAGTCACTTGAATACTTTCCGTGAATGTATCTATAGAGAAGAGACAAATCTCCAACCTTTCTTCGATGTCCAGACTATCAAGGTTGCGTATCAATTTCACGCCTCCAATCAGGCGGATGGCTTTTTCTGGATGGAATCCATCAGCTTCCTTCTATGTTAGGAGGCGGAGCTCCATACATGAGAACAATACTTCACGAGAAGGTCTGATCTGAGCTTTATAAAGCATGAAAAGTTGCTGAGGTGTGTACAGTTTTCTCGTTCGGAAAAGCTTTTGACAAGCAATTGTTACGGGGGCAATTCCAATATGAACCTTCATCTACAATGAGATGAAAATGATTCCATAAATATCTGACATTATGCTGCATTATTGTTTCTTGACCAAAACCAGCCTGCTCACTCAGTGGTGTGGGCGTGGGAACTCAAAAGAAAAGAAACGTTATATAAAATAAAGGGGCGCCACCCGTTTAATACGGTTTTGTGTCGCCAAGAAACTTACTTAAACGGGAAAGAAATATAATCGACAATTATAAATAATCAACACTTAATGTCCAATAAAAAGAATTGATTTACTAGATATCCCTTAACCAATACAAGTTGATAACTATGGTTGATAACTGACAACATATCGTTCATATATGAATCTCCAAATATAGCTATAATTGGCTCACAAAATAAAACTATTATTATTATGACATAAGAAAATATGGTCTCATATATTCAGGTGTTAATAAAATGTTTATAATTAAGGAAGAGTCTGCACTGGTATCTCTTGGTTTTTGCAGTATCGTAGCAGCAATCCCAGCGGTAGAAATTATAGATAAACAATGAAGAAATACTCGCTTACCGGACGTATCCTTCTTGCAATATTGTATATAAAAAAAATAGACCAAATAGTCCTCACGAATACCGATCCTACGACAATACTTCGGATCTTAGCTTGGCGGGACTTGAGGACTTTTCCTAATTCACCCAGACAATCTATCGTCGAGCAATAAATCGAAAGTGATCTGTGGTGCATTCAAGGAAATGAAAAATCCAAAACTGGCACCCTAAAAATTATACCATTCGAATCTTAGCATATAACACAACAAGGGAGAAGAATAGTTATTTTCAATGTTTGTTTTTGCCTTACCTCAATATTAGAGGGTTCATTTACTCAATAGTAGGTTTCCAAAAGAAAATGATAAGACACAAAATTTCCTTCAGTAGAGTTCAGTGCATAAATCCATAGAAGCAGAAGATTTCAGGATTGGTATCAATTGGAGCATCAAACTAATTCCTATATGATGATTTATATCTGCAATAATCCTCAAATCGACAAAACTTTATAACAATACCAAGTCGCTGATCTCCAGTACACTCGCTTACTGACTGAATGTCCTATTTTCACCGTGCACCGAGAATTCCAAAATTCGAGGGACGAATGATCAACAAACCTATTTGAAAAAAACTTAATATTTGCTGGAAGGATTCGAGGAAACGAGAGACGACACTTGACCGTTTTTCTGTCTTTGTTGAATTCGCACCTTTCATTCGAAGGAATAGGGTAGGCGTAGCGCGGGCATAGATTGTATTCGAGAGTTCGCACGGAGACCAATGAATAATATACCGGGGGATTTATAATTATATTTTTGAAAAAAAAATTATTGAATGATAGGGGAATTTCATTAATTTCAGTTACCAACGTTCGGAAATAAGTTGCTTGTTTAGGAATTCAACTATAATAAGACTACTGGGAAAATGAACTGTAAGACAATCTTTCGAATTCCAGCGACATGATTATGCCAAGACATATTGGTGTCAATTTTAACACCCAATAAACTTATCGAAGCAAAAAGCGGAATTGTGTGACCTGACATTATTATATCCGGTTTGGAGACATTTATCTTTTTGAAGAAAACCGATGCCCGGATTTTTGTGGCATTGATTTGTACCTGGTTACTTTCACCCCAATTCGAAATCACTTCTAGATCCTCATTAAGATATTCAACCTCCTGCTACCAGTGAAGATGTGCATCCGCAGCCGACGTCCTGGAATCCAAATGTAATGATGAGACAATTGTGCTGTCGTCAGCAAAGCAATATATAGGGTTCTGGTTTTTTTCCAATAAGTCGTTGATATACAGTAAAAAGAGGGTTGGATACAATATGGATCCCTGGGGAACACCAGCGTTGATGGTGAACGTATTCGAGAGATATTCATCGACGGCCACTTGCAGGGAACGTTCTTTCAGGAAGCTGAAGAGCCATACACACAAATTATCCGACAAGCCGTCGCATCGAAATTTGACCAGCAAACTCTCATAGCACACACGGGTAAAGGCATTAGAAATATCAAGCGCAACAGCTCTTGACTCTCCATGTTCATCGATTGCGTTATTCCAAATATGGGTGACATACGATAGAAGGTCGCCTGATGATCTTCATTTCCGAAAGCCATAATAATGACCGCTCAAAATGTTCAAGCCTTCCAAATATTTGAGGATATAGTGGGTTACGACTTTCTCTATGATTTTTGATATCACTGATAGCAAAGCGACTGGTCTATAGTTATTTGGAAGAGTTTTCTTGCCCTCTTGGGAATAGGCTGAAAGCGAGTAATCTTTCAACAAGAAGGAAAAACTCCTTTCTTGTAAGATATGCTGAAAAGTCTTGCAAAATACTTAAGGCACACTTCATCAGGACCGGACGCCTTATTGATATTGAGCTGTTTCAAATTTCATCAGACTAGACGCTGTTGTGTGGGAATAGTGATGCCTTTCCCAGGAAATTGACTGAAGTGGGGCCGCAAATTGTTGAGCGAGTAGATTTGCTTTTTCTATGGCTGTTGTTGCAATTGAACCATCCGCTTGTGTTAGTGGTGGATTTTGTGAAGTTCTATCATGAATCACACGTTAAAAGGTAAGACCTCGTTAATCCTCAGCTCGCACAAGTTTCGACTTCTGAGGGTTGTCGTTCGTAGAGGTGCGACAGCTGGTTAACAGAAAAACAGATTTTTTTTCAAACAGCTTTAGCTACCGACCAGAAGGATCTAGACCCGTAGGGATTGGCAAGCAGTTTCCCCCTATTTCTCTGATTGTGAAGTTCTTTGCTTTCATTTATCCTAAGTTTGCAGCGGTTGCGAGCATTAACAAACTTAGTTCGGTTTTTGGTACTGGAATTTTTGCGCCACTGCCGTTAGGCGAGATTTTTGGAGGCGACAACTTGCTCGCAATCTTTGTTGAACCAAAGTTTGCCGATAGAAGGTCGTAAGCACAAGTTGATGGATTTATAGTGCTGAAACAAACATGGAAATGGTCTTGAAGATCCTCCCATTCAGCTGATCTGTAATGCCAAACTTTGCGCAGCTTAGATTGTTCCCCAACATTCATCGGTAATTCACTCAACACTGAAATGAGTTTGTAGTCAGAAAATCCCAATGGAGACCTTA